GAAAAGGGCGACGTGACTGCGAGACGCGTGCAAGACATTCCCCAGCTCTTCCACGCCAACAAACAAAGTCGCCTTCATCGCGCCTCATCATTCACACGGTATGTCAATGGTCGATATTGCGCGGTAGTCGAAAACAGCACCTGTCATCAGCCGTCTGTTGTACAAGTCGGTGCTCTTAGCACACGTCGTACCGCAGCACCTGCATCGTGCTCCTGCTTCAATAACGCCGTCCGGTATCGCGTCAGTCGAGAATTGACGTCCGGGCAGCACCTAAAAAGTCATGTGAGTGCTTCAGGGAAATCACGTGCATCGCCATCGCTCCTTCCCGAGGTCCTGTTCCAAGGTTGTCTCACTTTACTAGCTCAACGACCCTTACTCCTCGACCTCACTTCGGGAGACCCCGTGAGGAAGTCTCAAAAGCATGAAGAACGTCAAGGCACAGTCATCTCCCTCAGTCACGCAATACACTACCCGTCTTCGAAGTACATTCCTCCACGCTCAAGGCACAGCACAGCCCATATGCCAGCAGACGTCGACAACACGAGCCAGTCGTCAAGAGCCAGAAGGCGCCGACAACGGAAGTCACATTGTGATGGTCAACGACCCACTGTAAAAGAGGTACAGGACTGATTCCGGATAGTATCCATTGCTCACTTGGATGCTTGCGTGATTCACGTGTACCATGACATGAACATATTGGGTTCTTGTGCTATGATGATAGTACAATTGAGCCTCCTTCCAGTTACACATGAGCGACTGCCTCATGGCTGCCAGCAGGGCGAAAGCAATACACTTGGTCCAAGAAGAACGCGTCGCTAGGACCTCACCATCTTCAGCCGATGACAAAGGACGAGGGCTCGTATCAGACTTGAACTACTTGCAGCCTATGTCGATGAGCTGCGTCCGCATGGGCCGTCTATGAAGTCAGAATATCACGCCCATGAATACCCCCACGGACAGTTGTCTACTATCGGATTCGCGTGCAACTTGATCCAGTCTGAAGTTACACTATTCCGAACAAACGTCGTCGCGAATGTACTGTTGGTCGATGTCATCTGACAATAGTCAATACTGACTCCTCTCCTTTGGGTCATGCACGAAGTCATCACTGAATTTACGCCTCCCTTGAGAGAGCATGGTCTGTCTCCAATCTTCCAACTGCATCATTCAAGCTATCAAGTCATGTATCATACGCCTTATTCGACAACTCATGGCTACTTTTGCTTCTTCCTCGTTAACGTATTGGAGCCGCTATCGATTACTCAGGGTATGAGCTTTGACATCATTGACGTCAATGGCAAGCGGGTCGGCATCCTATCCGTAGAACGACGCAAGATCGATGTCCAGGTTGTGTGTGATAGAAGCGCGGGACAAATTCCAGTGCAATCGGCCATTGAGCACAACATGATGTCAGACAGGCTACTGAGTCGTCGGCAACTCAGAGAAGTCCCCTTGCTCGATGAGAGAAAATGAGCAACCATGTTGCTGACTCCAGGACATCGAGGCGAGCTCGAAAGAGCCTCGTCTCATTTGGTATGCAGTAACGAGATATTGATAGGGCTTACCCATATCAGGCACAGACACTAGTCACTGAAGCGCCTTTGAAGGCGGCTCTGCTATGTTGGTGTTTCAGGACTGTACGACATGGGTTCGCCAGTGGATCAAGTGCCTCAGAAAGCACTTCCCCGCGCTTGAACAAAAGCAATCGCGATCAAGGGCTAATTTTGGCCTGTCTATTCTGGCATGTCTGGAGTAGCGATATGTCTACTTTTTGCGAGGGACGAGAACCGAGAGTGATCCAAGTCTAGCAATTTCTGTTGTGTTGTAGAAAGGCTCGCAGCCTTCTAGAAGAGTAGTGCACGCATGCTGTCGTGGCCATGCAGGTCTGAGTTGGTTTTTCGGTCTGGATTGCTGCGCGACGACTACCATGGTCGAGATTACCGCTTCAAGACGGCGAAGGGAGCCAGCGCAATGCTAAGGGACGCCGTTGAAGCCTACGAAAGTATTGATTTTCCCAAGTGTGGTGTTTCGCGGCGAATCTGTAACGTGACGGGTAGATCGGCAGAATCCAGGACCGGGGGCTCAGAGTGTCGTGTGCAGGCGGAGGTGGCAAAGCGCCGCGCGATTCCAAGCCAAGCTGCGTCAGGCACTTGACGTCTCACGCCGATCTCACAATCACGCCAATCCATCATCACACTTCGACGCCGTTCCTTCACCCTCACCCACGACGGCGCACTGCTACCGACGGCAATTCGCACCTTCACCACGCCCCATCGCGTCGCTGCCCTGTCGCCAGCTCTGCCAGCCATCCGCCGCGGCACGTCAACGAGTGGTTACCGGCCCCCACTGATCCGTCCAGCGACTCCACTGGACGACTTCATCCCGGAACGAGCGCTGCTGCGCCCATCGCACCCGCCCTCACCGAGTCGCAACCCCCATAGCACTCGATTATGCTGCCCCAAGAACCGCTGCAAGCGGGCTCGCCGCACACGACTCTGTCCAGATCCTACTACCCGACCGGCAATGCGCCCTTTGCGCATGCTACCATCCTTACCGGGCAACCGGCCTCACAGCTCGATGACGTGCGGATATCAAGATACAACAACACTCTCGGCTCGACGGCCAAGGGCATCATGATAGGCATATTCTCCGTGCTGGGCGCTGCGGGCGTATGTCTTATCATTGCCGCCATTGTTTACTACTTCCGCTACACCAACACAGGACGCATCTTCCTCGACCGGATAACGCGGCCTGGTGAATATGACGACGAGCAACAGTTTGCCAAGGAGGAGGCCGAGGCGCTAGAGGATATGGACGACCTGCAAAGAACAGAGTACATGAGAGCGAAAGGTATGCCAGGCAGGTTATTGTGCAGGAAGAGCACCAGCTAATCTCCACAGCTTTTGTGCAAGCAAACCCGCCCGAGTCCGTGCAAACCGACATATCCCTATCGCAATTCCTGGCTATACAAGAGAAGGGAGTGTCCGCCTGGGAATTTGAGCCCGAACTAGAGATTGCCAACTGCTTTGTCGAAGGCCGCACGGAAATTGAGTTCTTTGACTCGGAGTGCAGCGTCCAGAGCAACCTCCCGATCCCGAAGCAAAATGAAGTCTACTACTGGGAAGCCAAGGTCTACGAGAAGCCCGAGAACACTAGCATTGCGATTGGCGTCACAACGAAGCCGTACCCGTTGTTCAGACTACCAGGTATGTCTAAGACGACGTCCTACCTTTCACTCTTTTACTAACATTTATCAGGATACCACAAAGCCTCGATATCGTACATGTCCAACGGAAACCGCCGATACAACCAGCCCTTCCAACCCTCCGCTTACGGCCCATCTTACGTGCAAGGAGATGTCATTGGTGTTGGATACAGACCTCGAACGGGAACCATCTTCTTCACGCGAAACGGAAAGAAACTCGACGATGTTGCCCACGGACTCAAGACGCAAAACTTCTTTCCCACAGTAGGCGCAAACGGCCCATGCCAAGTTCACGTCAACTTCGGCCAAATGGGCTTCGTCTTCATCGAAGCCAACGTCAAGAAATGGGGTCTAGCCCCCCAAACCGGCAGCCTCGCACCCCCACCTCCCTACGGCAGCGAACAAGGATCCATCCTCCTCGACTCCGGTCGCGAAGGCATAAGAGAAGGCATGGGCGGAAGCTACATCCAAGCCGGTTTCGGTCACGGCCGCTCGAGCAGCCAGCAAATGCGTCTCGGACGCCAAGTGCCAACGAGTCCCGGTCCGCAACGCAGTCCAACCGACATCTCATTAGCCGCCCTTAGTCTGGTCGACTCTAACGAAGATGTCGGTGAAGGGGCGAGCCATGACGATCACGCGACAACTACAATCCCCGTAGACCAACGTCAAGGTCTTGGACTTCTGTCACCTGGCGAACTCCCTCCCGAATACAGTAGTCCTGTTGGCTCGCCCAACCTGCGCAACACGGCCGACCACGAACGAAACGGATACTGGGACGAGCGAGCACCGCTTCTACAGAACCAGCAGCAGCCTGGCGAAAGAAGTCCACCGGTTCCGAGCTATGATGCCGCGATGGCTGATACACCAGAGATACGGCGTCCTGCTATCAGAGTGAGGAGCGCGACAGAAGCTGGTGTGAGACCGCGTGGACCCCGCTAGATAAGCTGGAAGTCATTTTTCTTTTGTCTTACTCTACTCTCCATTGTTTTGACGAATCTGAGAGGAAGGATTGCGTCTTTTCACTATACCCTATCGCTCAACTTTTTCCTTTTTTTCCTATCTCTGTCGGGGCTGGATCCATCTCATTGCGAAAGATCATTGTGGATCGAACGCACCGCTGTGGGGGCTTTCTCCATGGACTGCATGGGTGGCAGCGAAACATATTTTTGAGCAGGTTGATTATCTCACCAGTCCAACAACCTACCTGGCGTTTATGGAAGCGAGCATTGTTACGTCTATTTTTTGCTTGCTTTCTGGGTGGAGTCACGAATGATACAAGCACACGAATACTCTTGTTGCTGGCGTTTTGATAAGGGATAGATTGGATTCATGTGCGTTGAAGCGTGGTCAAATTGGATTGCGGCTGGCTTTGGCTACTCATGTGGTAGCTTTTGGACTGTAGTAGTAAAGCGATGAGTTGTTTGGATTGTCAATATACACGCTCTCACACTCAAAGGCCAGTTCTATTCACCATCCCGATATGCCCATGAATTCCAGTCACTTGCCTAGGGCTTTGGCAAAGACTAGCTACTCCATTCTATCTCCAATTTCAGCACTGAGCACCAAAAACGCCATCTACGAACACAAATCGTCCTTCTCTTACTGTCAAATCGCACGAACATACAAATTCCGTCCCTATAGAGAACCTTGGGACTCTTCCAGGTTGCCATACTTGGCGTACCAAAGTAAAGAACTAGCCCTCGCTCAATTCATTTGAGAGCTAATCTCTCCTCAGTTCCTCCTGAACACACAAAACATCGCCGCCACCTTCTCTACCTTCCACAATCTAAGCACAATGTCCACTCACAATCCATGGGCAGACAGTCCATACCCATGGCGCAACCCCGCCATCATCTTCTCATCACCCCCAGAGTCCCTCATCCTCGCCGACCTAAAACGCTCCTGGCACTTCCAGCGAGAAGCACAATCCTGCTGGATGCAAAAAGTGATTTGGACCTCAGTTGACCGCTTCCGCATTGTCCTTCGCGACGTCGAAGGCACCGTAGGCGACATAGCAAAAGAGCTGTGTAACAAGCCTACGGCATTCTATTGGCTCCAGTCTGCACAAACAGGTGCGCCCCATACCCCCGAAAAGACTTGCATGTCCGGCGGTGTGTTTGCTGCTATATACGAGGAATGGCGTCGGAGCTGTGGCAAGCTGGATATTGAGTTTGGACATTTTTTCGCTGCGCCCGTGAGAGTTGCTGGTACGGGTCCGGACAGCCTACCAGATATCTTGAAGGCACATTCATCGCTTTGTGAGCAAGCACAGCGTGTCTCGTTGGAGATGGAGAACTACTCCGTGCATCCGCTTCTTCCTGCTGTTATCCTTGTATGCGACCGCCGTGACTCAACCGCTAGATGCGGACCAGATGGCTTCGTTAGTCTGCGCGAAGTGGGGAGGACGAAGACTGTGCTGGTTATTCTCACAGGAGGAAGAAGTCGAACCAGCACCGGTATCCACATATCTCTAGATCCTCTCAAACCCTTCGCCCTACCTATCGACAGAGACGATGTCGCTCGCCTTGATATCCTGCGCGTGCCCCTGGATATCGCTGTTAGGTTTGTCATTGAGTTGGAGGCCAGGATCGATGAGCGAAAGGAACCGAGCAGTGCAAGTTTAGACAAGAGTCTCTGTCTGCATCAAACACCCGTCGGATACAGTAGCGATATTAGGTTTTACCCCAACGTATGGGCTCGCATAATACAGGCAGAGGCGTTGAAGAATGGGTTTCGGGAGTTGGCGGATACGAAATTTGCTGCTGTACGCGTTCATGCACAGCTTTCTGGGGAAGAGTCGGGTTGTGAATTAGAGCACATGCCATTTGGTCAGACGTGGAAGCCTTGAGCTCCATACGTTTCTCGGCAATCCTTCTATTGTAGTACCTTTTGGGTTCTAGTAGTAGGATCTCTCAGCAAAAAAAGAAAAGCTCTACACCAGTCTGTCTTGCCATTGTCCTTGCTTTCTCCCCTTGTCACTTGTCTCTTCCTTACACACAAGATTATGCCGGGAGTCGCAGAACATGGCAAAAGGCATAGCAATATGGAGGCAAAAAAGAGGGTTCAAATGGCAAAAACATACAACAGCGGGGATTCCCCGGTGGTCACCCACCCGAGTACTAATCCGCCGGTATCTTGCTTAAGTACCGCTGAGCGAACGGGAAGCGCTGTGTCTCAAGATCCTGTGGTCGTATGTGATAGATTGTGGATTTTGGGGAAATATATTGGGAGGCAAAATGGGGGGTGGAAGAGGTGGCTAGGGAGATCAGGGTTGAGTGTGCTGGTTTGGGACCTAGTAGAGTGCTAGCTTTATGGTATGGCGATAGGGTATGGATGTAGATTGCGTGGTGATTCCGAAGTAGTGCGGCTGTGTTGAGGTTGGACTTGGCGCTCGCACCTGCCCAAGGGTGTGGCCCGCGTGGTTTAGGACAGCTCTAGACCAGGGTCGTGGCTGCTACATTGCGCAGCCTGGTACCACTCCAACACTGCACAGCTCAGCCTCACGTTAGGCGCGCAATCATTCGGAAGCTCTCGGCAAATGGAGGACGCTCGAGCACTGGTTTAACACGAGGGCGCCGTGACTTTGGGCTATCCAACGGGAAAGCACTATCATTTCCGGTGAAAGACTCACTTAAGCTGATTCGATGGCAGATGGACACGGCGGGGTAAGATGACGGGTGAGCTGAAGGTTCCTTCGGCCCCTCAGCTGACCTATTCAGCTGCCTTGGTTTGACAGCATATTATAAGGAGGCCATCCACTGTATCAAGGCTGTGCTTATCAACGTACAGCCCCTGCGGAAGGAAGAGACCTCAACGCATAATCTGGAAACTTTCACTTTGACCCCGTCTTCGCGGCTTTAGAACCCCCAGGAACGACACACCACCGAACGAAGTCAGTATGTCGGAAAAGGAACCAACAACTGTGAAGCCGACTCTGTTTCCCAAAGGAACTTGTAGCTCCTGCAAGAAGATCACACTGCATAATCTGTTGGAAACAGACATTTACAAAAAGGAGGATTTAGTGGTCGATTATGGTCCATACAGGCATAACAGTTGCACCATGTGCAAACTAGTCTTCAACTCCATCGATCCTGAAAGTAAGTTGACCGGAGAGATTAGTCTTCGGTTGAGGGTCGAGGACCCCAATGCGGGAAGCGACATGTATACTGGGAGACGAATCCACGAAGTTCGCGTTTCAAGATACGAAAATGGAGGCAGTAGAATCAAAGGGAAGCTCCGCATATATGCAAAACCAGGTACGTAACTCACTCCCTCTGTCACTGGACGTTCACCTCTGATCTTGATCCTGGAAGCTTCATACGCGTCCGATTTTGTACCGTATTGGCGAGCACCATCATCCAATCTCTCGGATGTTACGTTCAAGAACATTGATCGGCGAATCGAGAACTGCAACGAAACACACACACGTTGTCAGAGCCTTTCCGCCCAGTTTTCAGAACAGACGTCAGAACTGATGCCAGAACCGACGCCGCGATACTTGCCTACCAGAGTTATTGATGTTGGCTCTGATATCCGACAGCCGCATCTTCACATTGCCCAAGGACAGCAAAGCAATCGCTATGTCGCATTGAGCCATTGCTGGGGTAACTTGCCACAAGTCAGAACGTTGAGAGCGAACATCGGAAAACATCAAGAAGAAATTGTCTTTGGAGCTCTGTCAAGGACTTTCCAGGATGCTATACGCTTTACAAGACGGCTACGTATTGAATACATCTGGATCGATTCACTGTGCATCGTGCAAGATAACGAAGATGACTGGCTACAAGAATCGAAGAAGATGGGTAGCATTTACACGAATGCCTACGTTACCATAGCTGCAACTTCTTCAACGAATGGCAATGGCGGACTGGATAGTGTCCGCCCTCTAAGCAATTGGGTCAGATTCCCCTGCGATGGCACGGATGAAAGCAAAGGACACGTTTGGTTCACAGATGCGTCGTGGAGCTCTCAAAGCGACCTTAACGACGCACCGCTCAACTTACGTGGCTGGGTACTACAAGAGAAGATACTTTCGCGTCGGATTATCCACTTCGCCTCTTCACAAGTATACTGGGAATGCAAGGCAGGCATCTTTGGGGAAGAACGCGAAGATCATATTCCTTTCCCTGAAGATGCAACTCTGAAGCCGTCATATTTCTGGTCTACAGTGAGAACCGCTTCCCGGATCAGAACAACGCACGTCGAAAATGCGAATGACATCCGCTTTACAAGGAAATCGGTCCTTTCGTTCTACCCAAGCTGGAGGACTTTTATTCGCTACTACAGTACCAGACATCTCACCAACAAGACTGATCGTTTGATAGCTCTTATGGGCATCATTCAAGTCATTGAAGAACAGACTGGGCTCCGTTGTTTTGATGGCCATTGGGATGATGGCTCATCGCAGTTCTTGCACGAACTGATGTGGTTTCCCGAAGAACAAATAAACCTGTCGGTACTTGAAGAGACTAGTCAATCTAGGCTATGTTCCTCATGGTCATGGGCCTCTTGGGGGGTTCCATTACAACTCAGCACGATGACTGTTAAAGCCTGGGAAGACCACGGATTGAAAGATTGTAGTTTACAACTCCAGGCAATCGAAGACAAAGCCCTCGTTCCGTGGGCAAACCATCCTCTGAAGGTTTCAGGCATGCTACGAGGATCACAAAAAGGAAGCTTTGTGAAAGGAAATAAGTATCTCAACCAGGAGTACCCGAACAAACGCGCTTTCAGAGTAATATCAGACGCACTCGAGAAGGACCATGTGTATGTTTTCTTCGACTGCGCAGGTGGAGAACCAGATCAGTTCTTCCTCTCTCCTGTGCATACGTCCAAGAGAGAAATAGCATGTCTAGTCTTGGTTGAGCGAATTTGCGCTGCCAGCACGGTGCGTCGTTTCGAGCGCGTAGGTCTTGGGATTATTACGATTGTCGGGATGACTCCCAAAGATCCTGGTTCAATCCCTAGTGAGAGATGGTTCGAAGGATGCGAAAGAGAAACCTACCATATAATCTGATAATCTTGGATGTTAGGAGAACACAGGTGAAAACAACGACCCACAGAATTCAGGTTTAAACCGTATCAAAAGTCTATCAATGTATGACTGCGCCTGATTGAGAAGACTGATAATAATCGAACATGATGCGAACTCCATACAATTCCGCTACAAGAAGCACTCGCATCATGTAACCCAACCTGAATTCGACATCATAACCATCATCGTTCACTGATGACCACAAAGGCACTCCGAGTCTCTACAAGCTCTTCCATCCTGACACAACGTCAAGCGGGCAACAGCTCGCAAAGCCACCAACTGCTTATCACTCAATTTAGCACTGTGTTGATGCTGGCAGTTTCCAAATTTCTCCAGATAAGAACACTTCCCAAGCAAATAGAACTGGTTGCAGAGCCTGCGACCTTTCATCGCCATGAAGTCTTTGGACGTGTAGCTCAGAGGCGAATCTACACGTTCGCCGGATTTGTTGAGAAGTACCGTAGCAGCTGTGGTAGGCTGCTTGGTGACAGCGGAGTTATGCGCTTTAGACGACGAAGATGAAGAAGGCCCTGTTGGAATCTGCGCAGCGGCCGTTGCGTAGTCTGTCGATGGTGTTCGCGGCGGAGTCGGGAGAGACACCGTTGCGCGCCTAGGGGTGACCACCAGCATTTGGCTCCGGAACACCTTGTCAAATGATACAGTGTGGTATCTGTCCTTAATCGCAGCTAACTCGCGGGCGAACGGCGGGCCTTCCAAGAGAGTGATACGGCTTCGCACTGCGTCGTCTTCGTTATATGGGCCCAGCAATCGGGCATAGCCATTGTCAGCTGAGCCACCGAACAGGATCTGGTGACAGTGCATATCCGCTAGATCGTGCCGAAACATTGCTTCGAGCAGTAAGCATTTGGCGTCTTGCTTGGATGACACATGACTTACCCTTGATCTTCTCATCCGAACACTCTTTGCCGTTGCCAGCATCAACATAGTCACACATGGGATCGCCCATATTGAAACCACGTACGAACTCGTCAAGTGACGCTAACTGTGGGAGAATCTCAGCGTCTTTGTATGTCTTCGCCAGGCCCTTCATGTTCGCGTAAACACGAATGACCACCTGGATATGGTGGGCCAACGCAGGTGGAGATGATCGAAGTTCTTCCTCAACAGCTTGTTTGAGTAAGCGGGCGGCTCTCTTTCCGCCGTCTAGCCCGGCTTTCACAAGGTCATCATTGAACTTAAACCAGGTTAGAGTTGACGGATGGTTGAAGGGTAGAGGACTTACCAGCATACAATCACCATCGATCAAAACGGATGCGAAGGCATGACGAGCCTTCTCAGCCTGAAAAACTTGGATCCGCTTGTCGGCTTCTTCGATACGATCGCGTGTCAACTTGATCACGTCTTTTCGATCACGAAGTTCGTACTCAGCTTCTGACAACCGAGCAGAGAGATCGTTCACATATGCGAATAGATCCTGGATTGGAAGTAAGTGACGGGAGAATCTTCGAGGAATGGCTTGCTTACCTTGATCAAAACATGCTTTTGATCATCATTCGTCTGACATGTGTTCCACACATCTTGCAAGGACTCCAGCTGCACCTGCGGGTCCGACATCTTGCGCTCTCGAAACGTTGCAGACGCAAAATGGTCTCAACTATGAGATCCTTGCAGCAGAAAGGCTGGGAGAGAGCAGAAATAAATAAGGCTGGCAAGGACTGGGCTCACAGGTAAGTGCCTAGAGGCGCAGCACGATGCACGTTACACAGCATTCGTCTCGTCGAATACTCTTCGAACGCATAACAATGCAGGCGCCAACGAACCGCTCATCCAATCATTCGCATAGGCAGCACATGTGCATCCATCCTCATGTGCTGTACACCCTGGTCACATAGCCCCAGCGGCACGGTCCGGTGTATTGAATGTTGCCTCAGGCATCTTTTCCAGAGAAGAGTGTCGAATTTGAGGATTTGACGTGATAGTTGGCGCTCGATGTCATTGCGCAGTATGACTTGGCCGAACAGAAGAACTCGTGTATAGCAGATACGCCGCCACCAGCGCTTGCAACCAAACTGGCTTGAGTACGACCTATTGAAGGTACATTCTTCTTCTAAGGTACAATTGCAGATTAATCAAGGAAAGACCGTTTACCTAGAGCCCACGGTAATGCTAAGTCGCTTACTTTGCAGGTTTCCATTCTGATGTAGGCTGCAAACCCTAGTGTCGAGTTCAGTGGTGGTTCAGGTTGCGATAGATGCGATATCACGTCGCAACAATGCTGTAATGCGTGGCATAGATAATCACCACAGCCCAGGCTGAGGCTGATTGTTTCGGGCACTCATGATCTCGCGATTGAGTCATAGGAAGATTTTGAAGTTGTATGACAGCGCGACATGCGCGATGAAAAGAAGGCTGAAGGTCGGTTCCCCGCTCATCACCGCGGGACAGCCAACCAGGCAAATGATGTACCTTCGAAGGACCGATAGCATAAGAAAATGTACTTTGAGAGGTCAGTCATGTGAAAAGACAAAATAGATGGAAGAGCACATGCGGTTCTTGGGATAGCTATAGTGGATGATGGTGCAGGTTATTGGGTAGTGCAAACGCTGATCGGCACCGGTCTAGCCTCGGCGATAGCGTGAGCGGCTGGATGATGATGGGATCACAGCAGTGGAGGAATGAGGCACAGGTCACAGCCGCTCAACACTTTCCCCTCAATCTCGGCCTCGTAGGGCGCGTAGGATTATAAGACCTCTCTGCCCCCATCTGCCATTGTTGGGCATCGATAGCACGCTGAATCATCCGCCCCGCTTCGCCAATCGCGCGCAACACGGTACCACTACCATCACGCCCAACGTCCCGTACCGTCCGCCGTATCGCTTCGCCGCCCCACAAACAGGCTAGCAGGCTATTTATCAGCAAGCGCCCGTCCGAAGTTGGACGAGATGGCCTCGCGCACTTCGACACCTTCGCGGTCGCGTTCCTCCTCCAACAGCAGCAGCTCTTCCGACACCACCATGATAGACGCGCCGCCGCAATCAGCCAGCCGCCCAGCGCGCCTCCGCAACCCTTCGCATTCGCGTAGCGCCGCACTGCCCACGCCCACATCCTCCCAGATGCCGACCCACGAAGTTCTCCCCGATCCGTGCTTCTCACTGCTCTTGTCTCTGCCGAGAGAACTCCGCGACCGCGTGTACACGTATGCCCTGGTTTCCAAAACGCCGTTCCTGTGGCCCGGTGCCGTGTCCAAATCCACGTACAGCAAACATCGCCATGTCAGCGTGAACCTCCTCCGGACGAACAGGCAGGTCCACGACGAGGCTGTCATTGTTTTGTATGCACAGAACAAGTTTCTATTCACACATCCCAGCGACTGCAACATCTTCCGCGTCGTCACGTCTCCCGCCTCCGCAAACATAACGAGCGTGTACATCCGCATAAAGGACAAGGACCTGCCATTATGGACGGAATATATGGGAAGCGGGAAGGAAGTGAGGAGCCTAAGAGCTGATCTGCCTAAGTTGAAGAGTCTCTGGGTATTCCTCAAATTGGGAATGTGTCCACACTTCATGTCAGGCGTACTGGCTGGGATACAACGCCCACTTCTCGGACCCCAACCAGCGGGACACCCACAGGCGATTCAGAATGCTGTGGGACATCAGATACACACCCTACAGCAACATGTCCAGAACGCCATAAACCAGGTCATGACTACCGCCGGCGTGCAAATCGTCGGCGGCACAGGCGGCCATGCGCATACTCCTGCCAACGCGAACCAGGTCCCGCCTCCGCCCCCGCCAGCTCCCGCTATGCCGTTTCCGCAATTCATGCAAGGAGCGTTAGGCATGGGCGGCCATGGACAGCAGCACCAACAAGCGATGCCAGCACCGCACGCCCACGGCCAGCACAACCACCCACCGAACCCCAGTCCGCTAGCACAACATCTCCAAGCCCAACACGACAATCCCACCGTCCAGGTCATACACCCACCTGCTCAGCAAACACCACCACCTACAACCCCCACAAACAGCACAGACCCCAACAAGCTCTACTCCGGCATGATCCGCTCCAACCGCTTCAAAGTCGTCACATCACTCTGCCTCCAACTCCACGACGTCCTCCACACCAAACCCCCTCCCTCTGCGCTATCCCCCGTATCCTCCACTTCCATCACCCCTACCGAATCGTTCGGCACCCGACTACGCGAACTCTCACACCATCGACAAGTCGGCCCCGAACGATACCCCGAACGAACTACTGGTGCTAATACCACGTCCGTCGAACCATCCCGCTTTACCAGCGACAGCAAGTCTTCCTTCCAAACAACGAAAACCGAGACCCTTCCACCGCCGCCCAACACGGAGATCAAGATTGTGACTATAGTACGACCGGGCAAGAGATTCGTCAAGAGGCTACTTGAGACTTTTCCGGATGAGCTGGAGGTTGATCCCGTGACGAAGGATGCCAGAACAAGGTTTAGGAAGATGCATGGGGTGGATGTTAGTTGGGAGTTTAATGGGTTGAGTGATGTTGAGGCGAGCAGTGCGGGAGGGGTTGTGGTTCCTTGGGATGGGGGGTGGTGAGGGGATGGGGTTAAAGGGGGAGGGACATGACACAATTGAAATAGTGGTTTGGACCTCGAGGGGACTATTGAGGCGCTGGGTATCGGTCGGGTGTCGCAACTTCTTTCATTCCGATAACAGGACCTAGCCTCGTCCATTAGACTTTTATCTAGCAAAGCCCTAGAAGCGCAATACCCAACCCCTAAGCATAAACATAACAAAACGGCCCCCCAACCGTACTCATCGCCTCCCTAATCGTCACATTCCCAACCCCAACCCACTCCCCCAATGTAGTAACATCCTCCAACGTCCCTGCCTCCCCTGGCTCCCCCACCCCACTCGTCCCCCCCGCAATCGCCTCCTTCCTCCCCTCCAAATCCAAATTCTGCCACGTCCAATACACCCTATCCACCATAGCATGATGCGCAAAGAACGCAGGATCCGCAGGCGAATTGATGAAATCAGAACCTGCGTCACCGCCGATGGTGTTGTGGCCGCCAACGTGAGGGCCCATTTTGCCTTGGGCGAATTCGCCGCCGAGCACGGTTTGGAAGGACGTGATGGTGGTGTTGTCTTTGATTAGGGCGGCGACGACGGAGTCGCTGGTTTCGGCGGAGGATTGCAGGGAGATGTCGCGGGAGAGGCAGCGTGGGTTGTAGCCTAGGCCGTTGGGTTGGGGGTTTGGGGTCGGAGGGGGGAGGGAGACGGCGGCGAGTGGGCCGAGGTTTATTGTCCAGCTGAGGGGGGTGTTAGCGATGGGTGTTGTTGGAGTGAGGGGAGGTGGGAGGGTGTGGCGTACTCTTTGAACGGACCGGAGGTTACGCAGCCGCCTCCACTTCCGGGTTGAAGTTGGATGTAGCACATTTCCGCTGATGGGAAGCAGACGGAGGATCTATTGGCGACATATGCGCCGTCTCCTGACATGCTGGTGTCGCTGCCGTCGAAGAAGGGTGAGGCTTCTGGGTCGTCTGCCCAGTGGCCCCTGATGGTTGGCATAGATGTCAGTTTATATTCGGCGTGCCGTCCATACTTGGAGGTTACGCACCAGTTGTAATAAGGCTGGTACCCTTTATACCCGCATTCATTCCTCAGCATCTGTTCAAAAGCCCACGTGTAGTAGCGGTGCCATGTCAAAAAATTGGCCGTTCCGTGAATCGTGAACGCTTGCAGGATGTGGGTCACCACAAGGTCATCGTATCGGCTTTTGGCGCCTGAAGCGATGGCTGCGGGTGTCTTTGCTGGCAGTTTCGCCAGACATTTCACGGCTTTGATGTAGCTGCGTCTTTCTTGTTTGCTCAATGCTGACCTGGATTGCGTGAGTTGGAGCAGAATGGGATGGTGTCTACCTCACTCACCAGTCCCGACGAACGGCTACGTTGTCCAGTGTACATGTTCTCGGGCTCGGTAATGGGTTTTCTGAGTAGTAGGCGTTCATCCGATGTAGACTTTCGGCAGCCAGTGCATCTACTTCATTAGGCTTCCCTATACTCTTTGCGCCGGTGATACTGGCCAAAGCCATTGATAAGACGTTGGAGAGCTTCATGATGCTAGGGTACGAATGTATCCCGTGGTGAATTGAACATGATGGGAAAAAATTCGTATGTTGGATCGGGGATGATGAAGACGCATTGCAATGACACGTGAGATTGTCCCAACCAAGAGCATACCCTGGTATCACTACTTACCCGGGCTGTTATTGCCGTTTTGTAGAACTTCTTAGGCGAGTGGCGAGAATCCTCCATAGCGTGGCGTCAGCCGCGGTGGGGCGTTCAGAGTAATCATCTGCAGTGCTGCAACCTAGTCGCCATCCTTTCAAGATGTGTAGGGGGGTTGACATGGATTCTCCTTCTCGAGCGCTCTCGAGAGTGTGCATGGCATCAGACGCGTTTTCGAAAATGCAGGTTCGATCAAACCTGTGCCGACCATACAAAGTATCTTATCAGAGCGGCGTTGGCAGTATCTGTTGCGCAAAGTATAAAGGTATCTACCACCTTCGAGCGTCCAAACATGAGAATTCCCGCCTCCCGCCAAGGCGCTAGACTTGGCGGCATGCACGGTGCTGCAGGGTCCATTCTTCCGGTCCTGTGTCCCGCGGCGCCTTCCCAGCTCTTCCTCCTCTCCAGCAGCACCTCATACAAGAAAAACAACGAACAAGTCGGGAGACTACATAAACATCAAAGCATGCAAAATAGGTGGCATGACGTCAATGTAGGCTCTAGGGTTTTCGGCTCCTTGGGTTCCTTGGGTTTTCCTTCCTGGTGTGATTCAATAGGCAGGGCGAGTCAAGTTAACGGAACCGGGAATACGAGATGGAGGGGTTCGACGAGCGGAGAGAATGATGGCCATACTTCATGTGTCTGCCATGTTGATCCTAAGGCCCTCTTTACCGAAAACCACGATCTTCTCGACGATGCGGTGACCCAGCTCTGTCCTGTGGTCACGAAACATTCGCATCGTGCTCGATGCGTTCGGAGTTCCCAAGATGGCGTAACAGCCGTTGTCCAAGCGAGTGTACTCGACTTCGTTATTGTTTCCAGTTCTTGAAGACTACGAGTGCACCGAAGCTTCCTCCCTTTGTATCGTTCCTCCTGTAATCCAACGTCAAGATAGGGCTGTTGGTCCTTCGGAGAAACGTACGGCTGCGTAGCGAATCTCTCTTATACCAGGGCAAAACCAAACACCTAAGAGCCTACATTAAGATACAAACGCACAAATTAGGTAGCCTGACGTTGACGTAGGCTCCAGGCTTGATTGTGAAAGCATGCATATGCCATTGGACGGCGACGCGCTGCGTACGTCCTGTACCATCATGCGCTCGTGTGGCACAGTCTCAAGGCCGAAAGTTGCCCCTCCTCATGAGAAACCGCCGTAGCCTCGTGGCAATAGTCGACACTCCCCTCGACCACAGCATGGCCAACATCTACCGAACGCTCGAAGGCGACGAAGTCCGTTTCGTCAGGATTCAGCCTGGTGCCTGGACCGATCCTATTCAATGTGAGCTGGTATACCTACCGCTCCCCAACACTGAAGTCGACGTGGTGGAAGCATGGTTTTCGGGCAAGCCACTACCGAAATTGCTGCATCAAGAGTTATATGACCCACGATGCTTAGGCACGACGGAAACTTCTGAAGAAGAATCAACTGCAACCGCGCCGACACCTTTCGTCGCCATATCGTATGTGTGGGGTGACTCAAATCAGACGGGAGAACTCCTTCTCGATGGCCAGCCAGTCCAAAAGACCGCCAATCTCATAGCTGGCTTGCGGCGACTGAGGGCCTTGCTTGAAGACCCTTCTGACACACCCGCTATCCTCCACCACAAAAGCACACTCTTTTGGGTCGACGCCCTATGCATCAATCAGTCAGATGATGCGGAGAAATCAGCGCAGGTACCTCGGATGGGCATGATCTATGGAACTGCGGGGCTTGTTGTGGCATGGCTAGGAGAGAATGGAGAAGACGATCGCGACGTTCAAGATCTCATGAATCTGATTGACAGTGTCAGTCCGGACAACGTGACGAGATCTTCTCGTACTTACTCTTGCACAATCGATAACCTCGATAAGACCAGACTCTCTCGCATCCGACATGGCTTCGAGAGCCTTTCGCAGCGACCCTGGTTCGAAAGGACATGGGTGGTACAAGAAATGTTGATGTCACACTGCACTATCTTACTAGCGGGTTCCCATTGGTGTTACCTTCGGTTCTTCCTGGACGCCTGGAACGCTATGTTAGAGATACTCATGAAATGTCCAATGATCGATGAAGGCCTAGGCTTGTGGCGTATATCTCAGCCGGGATTCCATGTTTCCGTCGCTGCGGTGCTTAAGGACGACATAAAGGCCATCTTTGCGCAAAAGTCTATAGCAGTATCACGTAGGCCTCCCGCTACGTCACAAAACGAGAAAGATGGGTGTGATCGGCAATCAGACTGCTACATCAAGAAGCGTTCTCCTGAGCCTGGACCAAGATCAAGCATCTTTGAAGATTGGGCCCACGAAGCAGCAAGTTTGCATGAGAGCCTTGCGGTTGCGAAAGCTCACATACGCGCCCGACTCCTTGCGTTCCTACTCAAGGCTGCGCTCTTGAGCATGGCTTCAGGGTACAAAGCTACAGTACCACATGATTACCTTTATGGCATCCTTTCGATTGGGGGTACCTTGATATACCCCAAAGAGCTTGCACCGAATTATGCGCTACGATATGAGGACGTCTTCCATCAATACAGTAAGTTGATACTAGAGTACACAGGCGATCTTGCCATCATTCCTAGGATGCAACACAAACTCGCAGGCGTGCCCAGTTGGGTTCCAGACTTCAGGGTCGCGCTTGCAATTCCCGCCTCGACGAATGTGAGTCCGTCGTCAATCAAGCCTGATGTCACCATCTCCGAGGACGGCCGAGTATGTTTTACGAAAGGGGTCTACTTAGGAGAAGCAGTACTAGCCTTGGATTGGAGCCACGTCACCGATTCGAAACATGAACACGCTGCCGTCATCAATCACTTCCACAAATTTCTGGAAAGATGTTGCAGAGAACGACAGCTAGACAAAGACCACGTCCTGAAAACAGTCCTCGGGGCCTTCTGCGTAAATGCCTGTTTTCGCGGGTTTCAAGCAAGCAAGGTACGAGAAGTCTACTCCGAGTGCGTGTCTGAATCGCCATTGACGTTGTTCCCAAAACAAAACTCTTTGATAGAGTGGTACTCGATGATGTCTTGTTCTACGGGCGACACGGGCGACACGAGCGACACGTCTCAAAGCACTGTTCTGACCGAGTTGTTGTCAAAATTCGCAAAGAGCTTGTATTTTGTAACTTCGCGAGGTTCAATATTGCGTCTTATAAGATATGACGAACAAGCTAGAAAGGGAGACGTACTCGCAATGTTGAATGGAGCCGAAAAACCATGGCTGCTTCGTCATGCCACTGGACCCGACGAAGAGGAATACACGTTAGTCGGAGCTTGCGAAATGTTATACAGGAACACCCAGCATAGTGGGCTAGCGAAAAGGGATCGCAATCACGAGGATTCATCTCGAACTGCAGAGATCAAGCGACAATCTTTTGCGCATAATGAAGTAAGAGAGTTCCGCTTAGTATAGCGCATCACATCGAGGAGCTCCACAGAATGATCTACATCAATGCCATAACGCGATATACTTTCTCGTAGTGAACAATTTGTTTTACGCACGCATCCAACATATGAGCAGTCCAACATGCTCAACATCGAAAGCAAATCATTCATAATACAAAATATGTCCCGACAGATAAATTACAGAGGTCCGACACATGGTTTCAGGCGGTTCCGTACTCAAAGATCGTCGCATTTACTCTTGTCTCATACACACAACCTCTTCTCCTCGAAGAAAGAGAAGAGAAAGTGTTGTGTGTATCCAGCTCGAAATCTGCTGATGGAACAGCGGACTGAGCGAGGTAAGAGACCGTTCTACGAAAGCGCGCGCGTTAGGCTTCCCAACCTTGGAAGCTTCGCACGTACTGCGCGCGCATCTTCATGAATTGATGAAGACTGTGATAGTGATTTACGTGTAGTAAGGTGTGTACGACATGAGTACACAAACTTCACACGCGCGTGGTGATGGTGGCACCGGTTGTGGTTGGGCAGAGTAGGCGGGAGAAAGCGCGGCGTGAGCAAGGGAAAGTTTTTCACGATTATGTCATCGTGCCACTAAACCTGTAGGGTACTAGCGTTCATAGTCAACCCGCGCAATTCATCCCAACTTCTGCCAGTTCACGCGGCATGTTCAGCACCCGCCAATCAAAGTTGTGCGCAGATGGCGTGCCCAGGGCCCTGGATTGGCCGCCGGCTTCGCTTGCAGCTCGCAGAGGTTTGGCATGCTGGACTGATGTTGCGCTAGTGTTTATGTGGCATCCCGTGGATATCCAAGCCGTGCGTGTAGAGTCAAGCGATGTGGAATCATCAACTTCATTTCTTCCTCTAATTCTCTCATCGCTTATTCTTGGCTCCGGATCTGGAATCGCGACAGCGACTTCAACATGGTGACTGCCCTGCAAGACGAAAAAGCGACGGCGTTATCTCCTCGCCATGACGCCGAAACAGCCTTGGACGCGACGTCCACCGACAAAGATATAGCAATCAACCTCGTCGGTGAACGCGCCCAAGACATCGACCCTGAGATTGAAGCAAAAGTTCTCCGAAAGATCGACTGGTTTCTCATCCCCGCCATGATCGTGGGTACGTCAATCCCACCAGCCTCGTCCATACCATCCACCTCTCACCATCATGACTACCACATGATTCCCATCTAACAGCGAATCCAGGCTATGGTCTGGTATACTACGACAAAGCGATCCTTGGTTCCGCCGCCCTCTTCGGCATGACAACCGACCTACATCTCACCCAAACCCTCTCCCCTGCTACACCAACTTCCCCAGCAGTAATCTCCACGACACGTCTCTCATGGGCCACCTCATTGTTCTACTTCGGCATGCTCGCAGGACTCTATCCACTAACATTCGCCCTCCAGCGTTTCAACCTAGGCCGTATCCTTGGTGCTGTCGTCTTACTCTGGAGTCTGATCTGCATGTTAACAGCTGCTGTTACAGACTACAAGGGATTGTACGTCCAGCGTTTCTTCCTGGGTTTCGTGGAGAGTATCATCCCAACTGGCTTTATGACAATAGTGAGCAGCTACTATACGCAGCGCGAACAGTCCGTACGCCAGTCCTGGTGGTTCAGTTCCACCGGTCTCTTCACCATCATCGGCGGCGCGTTGAACTACGGGTTCGCACAAATCACGTCCGGCGCGCTAAGACGCTGGCAGTACATCTACCTCCTCGCCGGCTGCCTAACCTTCCTCTTCGGCTGTTTCTGCTTCTTCATCCCAAATTCCTGTGCCGAAGCGTGGTTTCTGACGAAGAACGAACGAGTCGTCGCTGTTGAGCGGCTGAGGAAGGGTGCGACGGGTGTGCGGTGCCAGAAGATTAAGATGTATCAACTCAGGGAATGCGTTATGGATGTGAAGTTCTACCTCGTATTCCTACTCATGGGTAGCGCATATACCGTCAACGGCGCAGTCTCCGGGTTCGGCCCACTCATCGTGAACACGTTCGGTTGGTCGCCTCTCGCATCTATACTCTGGCAGTTCCCGCTCGGGCTGATCTGTCTCGTTACGATTCTCCTCTGCGGCTATCTCTCCTCGCGTATACCCAACATACGAATCATTCTGCTCATAGTAAACTGCCTCCCCGTCATCGCCGGCTGCGCGATGATCTGGAAGTCGGAGTGGACATACCACGCACCCACCCCCGTAGCCGGATACTCCATAATCGGCACTTTCGGTGCAGTCGTCAGCCAGACGATCGTCATAGCCATGTCCAACGTCAGCGGCGCAACAAAGAAGAGTGCGATGGCTGGCACAGTCTTCGTCGCATACTGCGTCGGCAACATCGTCGGTCCACTGCTGATCAGGAGTCAAGAGAAGGGTGCGCATTATCCTAGGCTATGGACGGGCCTGATCATCTGTTATTGTATCACGATAGCGTCTGCGGTAGCGCTATACGCCGTACTGAAGAGGGAGAACAAGAGGAGAGAGACGATGAGCGTGGACGAGGAAGAAAGGGATAAGATGGCGTTTATGGATTTGACGGATGGTGAGAATATGTATTTTAGATATGTATTGTAGGGCGTCATGGCTGTCTGCATCGAAAAGTCGGGGCTTGTTGGTTTGACCTTCGGATTACACAGCCGCCGGGCTGACTATCAGCCGTTGTATTCTTTTGCCATTTGAACCATCGTTTTTGCCAGTACTCACGAACCATGTGTTAATTAGTGGAGAGATGGATGTATGAGTGTGTGCGTAGATGCGCGGTAGCGGCCTGCGAGCTGTTTTGTCGGTATTTATGCAGAAGTATGTGTTAGCTTAGTAGTGATAGTAAGCGACGGTGAGATGATAGAGATAGGGAAGAGAAGAGGAGATGAACGTTGCGTTGGGATGAAGAGCTCTTCACATGATGGGTCTTCACTCTTCACACTTGTTCGTGACACCGTCATCTTATCGACATCACGACAGAACAACACACATAACCACGTCATCAACAGTCCATCACAGGAAAGACATCAGCATCAAGTCTACGCAGTAATCATTACAACTATAAACCACCGGCCAGCAAATATACCCATTCCACAGAAACGAACTACTTCAGAATCAAAGTAGTCAAAGTGGTATAAACGCCTATTTCCAATGTTATGATTGGGAAGTTGAAGCCCCGAAGGCCCCGAAGGGGGAGAAAGAAGGAAGTGAGTGTACAAAAAAGGGGTGGATGGGAATGAATCTATTATTCTCCTTGGCTAGAAAGAAAAAGCTATAACAGCTTTTTGCTTTGCCTTACAAGACTTTTGGTGCTACATGATAGGGTTGGAGAGGGTGCTGTGCGATTCGGGTTCGACGGGGGGAATGCGCATTGGTGCTGGGGTCGGGAGTCGCGGGGTCGGGGTGCTGGATATGTTTCGTGTCGACTTTAGGCAAATTCGGGATGACCGCAGCCACCTGGAGTCTTTTCCACGGGTGGACGATAGGTTGAGACACCGTTAACCAATTCCCAATACCCAAATGCTGCAGCGAGACGACCGTTTTGCGGCGAGGCGACTCCGCCTCCTCCTCCGAATCGGGACGCATGCGACGACGTTGCTCTATCAAGGATTTCCGGGTAACTGCGAGGGACGTAGACCGATGACCCAGGGGGAGCGAAGTTCCGTGCGCGACGACATTCTTCGAACGGATGGGCTCCGTACTGTGCTTCGAGGTGCTGGGATACGCGAGGGGGAGCTAGAACCTATGTTTTAGCCACATGCTAGACGGTACCTCCAGAGAGGTTATCCAACATCTTGGCCAACACAAGGTTCAAGCAGTGCTGGGGGAGGGAAGGGGTATCAAGACAATCAAGCCATTACGCCTTGGTTGCCGCCTGGGAAGGGGAAGTCAGTGGGCTGGAGTATGTATATAAGGTGGGGATGTCGATTTCACTAGAGAGGAGCGGGGCGGAGGTAGGGGTTGTAGCCGAGCGACGTACCGACTTGACGCTTGATCTGTTCACGTGCCCATCGAGCAGTGTCTCGGGTTCGACCGCTGAAGTCTTGGTTTGCGCGTGTCTCCCTCGCCATTGCGGTGAGGAACTCGTGACGGAAGTACTCCCGGAAGTCACCAGCTGGGAACGCATCCGCGAGGTCACTAAATGATGTTAGTGAGATATGTTGAAAGAGGGACACCTGTACATACCCGATAACACCACACGAAGATCGGAGGAGAGCCTCAGTGCGGTTGCTGTCTGCTTGGATAGTGCGGAGGAGGTCGAAGATGGAGTCAAGGTATGGGACGATGAGTTGAGCTGGAACTGTTAGTGTGTGATCAACGTCTTGGATTACAAAACTTACTCTTGTTGCTGCTCTTCATGGCAACGATGCAACCATCCCATGCATCCATAATACCCTCACGGAGGGAGGTGATGTAGTCGATCATCTCGTAGTTGCCCTCGGTGGTCAATGTGACTTGTCCAGCTTGTTGCAGCACTTGAGCAACAACAGTCAGGTAAGTCTCGAACGCGCCGTGGATGGCATGTGCGATGTCACCGAAGCATTGCAGGATAGCTGGCTTGAGCTGGTTGCCAAGTTGAGGGCTGCGCAGGTTGTGAAGAAGAGAGTTCATGAACGCATCGCAGAATGGCTGGACGTTCTCGCCCAGAGACCGGGTGATGTCAGAAACCAGACCAATGGCCATGGAGCAGAGCGCGGGCTCTTCCTGGTTGTTAAGAGCATTGTACAGGAATGGCGAGAATGCCTCCATGTACTTCTGGAAGTCCTCCTCGAGAGCCGTCGCGATCGAACCAATGGCGGCAAAGACAGTGTCTGGAACACTGGACTTGGGAGGCAGGGATGAAAGCAGACTCAGCAGCGCCTGCATGATGCGGTCGGCCTGGGGCCTGATGTCGCTCTCCATGCGCTGGATGATGGCCATGATGACACTGGCCAAGCTAGTCTGCATCTCTTCGAGAGTCAGCTTGTCCTCAACGTTGACAACCTGCGATTGAAGTGCCATGGACTTCTCGAGGCGCTCTAGGATGACGTTGGCGAGCTCGTTGACCAGAGGAACGCTGTCACCAGCGGCGTTGTTGACAAAGGAGTTGAGTACTTCGTATGCGGCTGTGCGGAGCGTGTTGTCGGCATCAGCGCGCTCGGTGACTTGCAAGAGGCTCTGCACGCTCTGGGCGAAGTGGGGCGACAATGGGTTGGTTGTGCAACCGGGCTCTCCCGCGAACCTGTCGGCCAAGTTCATCAGCGACCAACAGCACGATGCGGCCATCTTAGGGTTGCTGGCGAGACCGTTGAATAGAGCTCCGATCAGGGGAGGCAGGTGCTGCTGCGCGTCGAGTGCGCTGGGAACAGCCTCGCAGATGCGACCCAAGGCGTATGCGGCGGAGTCCTTGACGTGTATGTTTTGGTCATCCATCATTCCGATCAAAGTAGGCAGAGCTTGCTTGACAATGGGGTCTAGCACAGACTCCTCAGGACCCTCCATGATGGCACCAAAGGCGGAGACGGACGCATCACGGTAGTGCCAGTCTTCTGAGCGGATGTACTTCTCAATGAAAGCAAGAACAGGGGGCATAACGCCGCTACCGACACACTGTGCCCAGAGCTGCAGACATTGGTATGCTGCACGGGAAGTGTTGTACTCGTTATCGTCGGCATCCTCGTCTTGCTTGGCAAGAAGTTCAAGCAGTACTGGGACGACCTCTTGTGTGGCAACTCGGGCAAAGTTAAAGTATTCGCGGAGCTCGGTGGAGCCCTCGGCTTGAGCCTGGGAGTTGTCGTCCTCGATGGCGATTTCCTCCTCACAGACGGTGCACCAGAACTCGACAGCCAGCTTAGCAACATCTTCTTCCTCGCTCTTCATGCCTTGGATGGTAAGACCGAATAGCGCCTTCTCCATGTAGAAGCGCATCTTGTCGTAGTACAGACCCATGATGCGGTTGAGACATCCGTACGAGCCCTGCTGGATGCGGCTGTCGTCCGCTTGTGTGGCTTCGCAGATGACCTGCATGATGTAGTTGCGCTCGCCCTCATTGTCGAAGTTGGAGCGGACGAACTCGATCGAGTCGCTGAGCGCGTTGATGGCGGCTACACGGACGTCGTTGTTAGCCTCCTCCTTGCGGGCACCCTGGACGACAGCCGTCAGGATAGCGTTGGAGTGCTGTGCTAGCGCGTCCCTCAACTCTACGTCGTCTGTATCACACACGAAACCGATTGTGGTAAGCGAAGATTGCTTTTGGGCGTCGCTGCCCTGACCGACACTCTCGACGAGCGAGGTCATGAGCTCCGGCCATTGATTGCGGGGTATCTCGATAGCAGCCACGGAGGCGATGAACTGTGCGGCGGCGGAGCCTACGTTCTTGTTGGGTGTGGCCAGAGTCCGCAGGGCCATGTCCTTGACCTGCTGCTTGATCTGGGTGTCGAGGCTGAGCCATCGTTCTTGAACCTGACGTAACCGGGCATACTCGCGAGCGGTGAAGGCGTTCTTTAGGGCCAGGGCGGCGGCCTGTCGGATCTGGGGCGCGGCCTGTTCATTTGCGAGTTCGCCGCCGAGGACGGTGAGGTATTGAGGCTGAGGATAGACGTTAGTGGATATGTTCTGGCTATGTCTCGGGGGGCATGCAGCCTTCTGGCTGCGGGGAGACTTACAAAGTTGTTGTCGGCAGCCTGGATGAGCTGCTGCTCGGCGTTGTTACGGATGCTAGCGTCTGCAGGAGGGTCAGTCGAGCTTCTAGAAAAGTGCGGGTCTCAGCAAAGGCAGCATACCGGCGGAGTAGGTCCCCTCCAACACCTGGTTGATATCCATAACTGCTGAAGGGTGCTTCAAAGATTCAGGCGGGGTATCTGGCGGTGGGAAGAATTAAAGGGCCGCGGTGGCGGGAGAAGCAGAAGGTGGTGCGGCAGGAAGGCAGGTCGTGGTGAGGTTGCGGAGGGCGTCCGTCGTAGGGAGGGAATTTGAAGCGAAAGAAGGTCGAGCGTAGACAGGCCTAGTTCACGTGTTGTTTTCCTCCTAAAGGGTCTGCCCCACTAACAGTGCGGACTTTGGTGCAAGGAGACGGGCGTAAGGGCAGCCAGTCAAAGAGCAGCAAGCAACAGGCAAACACGGCGTTTGACAGTGAGACGGCGTCGTGAGGGCGAGGGTGAGGTGAGAAATTTATTCTTCCGCTGCTTCAGGCACCGTCGATGGGTTCGTTGGAGGAAGGAGCGGCGCCCGCCTGGCAACGGCGCATTGGCTCGCTTGCGCATCGTGCTTTCCCCCCCAGATTGAGCTCGCCCTCCCGCATGCAGCCCTGTGAGAGCCATGACACTGAACGAGGGTCCTACCGTCCTGCACAGACACTGCATAGAGTTATGACATCCAGCCTAGTCGTTGTGCACCTTGAGTTCTTCATACTGTTACATCGCGTCGCTGTGGTTCTGTCTGGAAGCCAAGCCAAGCGTCTACCTGCAGCCCGTCAATCACCTCGAGGCTATTGGACGATACACGCGCATCATGACGAATCGCATCGATGCAAAACTCTAGTACACGAACATCATCATCTTGGAAGTTCCCAGTCATCGAGGCAGCCTACATCATGTATGTCTTCAACGTAGTTG